ACCTCCCCAAAACCCCAAAACCCCAAAACCCCATATATAATATCTTCAATGGATGGTTATAAATTAATAAATAAAAACAACTCTGTACATAAATGATAAATTTTCCCAAATCCGCCTTCAAGCCCCTCTTTACAGCCTCTCTTAGGGCTTGTTCCACAAAAGCGCCTACAAGGGCTAGACTAAGAGACAAAGTTTACATCATACCTATCCACTCTGAAGAAGCGATTTCAAAAGCAATCAAAGTTGATGAGTTGGCCAAAATTGAAGAATATACAAAAGCAATGATGATCGCCATCAACAAGCCTAAGAAAGCAGAGAGATATATCAAAGATCTGTTGAAGAATTTACGCTATGATCATATAGGCCTACCGGCCTATACCCATCTTTTAGAGTTACACTCCAAAATTTTAATATCTCTACAGGAATATGAAGAGGCTGAGCTCCAAATCAAGAACACTATCGAACACTCAAGAAATAGGATGCTCTATGACCCTGAATTTAGAGTAAGCTCTTGCTAAACTTTAGATTCAAAAATAAAGTTGACCTCTTAACTCTCTATCTGCATCATTTCAAAGCTAAAGCTTCAGATTTTGCTGAAACCCTAATAAATGACCCTGACATGAATAAGATCTCTTTTGAAAAACAAGCAGAAGTTAATTTCTTAACAGGAATTGCTAAGTTCTATGATGAGGCTGTTTCATTCAAGAAATGAAAGGATTACTTGAAGCATGCTCTCAGCATGACTCTGGATCCTCAGAAGTTATCCATCATTCTTCATAATCTAGCTGTGATGAACTTTGCTGAAAGATGATACCTCAATAAAGGAGATGACCTAACTGAAGAGGAGAGGTTCAAGAGAATCGGAATGTCAGAACAAATCAGAGATAAAACTATTGGTACTGAAGTTGACGATAGAGGAAATCTAAGATTCAAGTAAATAATTGCTTAATATCTATAGTCCGGTCCTAATGCCGACTGAAGAGAAAATGCCTGAAAGTTTAAAGGAAGCTATTCCAGAACATATTCAATATGATATTGATCAACTTTTTATGGTAAAATATTGCATTTTATTGTTAGAAACGTATGCAAGAGAAAGAAAAGACTCTCTTGGAAAAGAAGGAAGAGGCAGATAAAAAACATAAAGAATCTCAAGACAGACTTATACATTCAGCACATTTGAAAGACAAGGAGTCAGTGGAATACATAGAGCCAACATTTTATGAAGATAATAAACAATGGCTCACACTTTCTAAGGAAGATATTGAGAATGAAGTTATCCCTATCATGTTCCAGCTAAATGATTCAAAAGAAAATAGCATTTTCGACAAAATTGAGGCTAAAGAATTTGATGTAGACACTGATTTTAATGAAGTCATCCCAGTATTATTTGCAAGTATTGTTTATGCTCATCAAGACCCTGCTATGAGGAATTTTAAAACAATGGAACATCTGATTTTTGGGGACAAAACATACTCTTATCTGAAAAATCCTGTGTGCTTTCAATCAATTTTATTACTCTCACATATTCTTCTAGCTTCAAAAGACATCCATGATTTTCATCTTTACCAGTCTGTGATTTATACTGTCTATTTCGCCAATAAAAATTCGAAAAAGATGCAATCACGATATTTCTTAGATTATGCCAATCTTCTCTTAGCTGCTTACTATCAGCATATTGGGCAGACTGAAAATGCTCTCCAAATCCTGACCAAAATTGAAAGAAACACAACTATTGATGAAAACAAGCCTCTCGAAAGACTTTTTGTGAAACTAATGGGAGAAGTCCTGAAAACCAATCTAAATTACTCAGAAGATTTACCCAGAGAGGAACTTATAGCAAAGTAACATTTCCCCCTCATCCTTTAGAAAACGTCTTGAAAGCTTCAGAAAAGAAAAAGGTATTTCCTTCCTAGAAAGATACCAAGAAATCAAAAACGAAGGAAACCATTCAAAATGGGATCTGTTCTTCAACCTCAATCTCTCTGCTTAAATTTCTCAACCTATCTCCTCTATCTCGGGGTTTTGGGGTTTTGGGGTTTTGGGG